TTTTATCGCTTTCTTTGGCGTCCACATTACCTACAGTTGCCTCCATGACTCTGGGTGGGGTATATGACCTGAGCAAGCACAGCCTACACCACTGAAAACATCTGTCATGTGGTGACTGCCTTAGTGATTGGATTATTACTGTAGCCACTAAATTGTCCATGGGGATGCGTGTACTCATTACATGGGTCAGTATTTTTGCATTATACTGCACCTTCCATCCCCCAACTTTCCTGGGATATTTTTTCAAGGATGGAATTACTGGAGCAAAGGTGGTGTTCCCCCCCCCATTTTATCCAATTAAAAATACTTATTTTTATTACTTAAGGAAAACTAGAGTTTGGTGTGGTGGTGCATGCTTTTAATTCTAGCTCTTGGGAGGCAGAGGCAAGTAGATCTCTGTGAGTTTGAAGCCAGCCTGGTCTACAAAGTAAGTTCCTGGTCAGCCAGGGCTTTATAGGGAGGCTCTGTGTTGAAAAACCAAAAATAAAATAAAAAAAAATTATTTTAAAGCGGGTGTGGTGGTGTACACCTTTATTCCCAACACTGGGGTGGCAGAGGCTAGGGGATTGATGGCAATGAGTTTGAGGCTGGCTAGGGCTAAATGGAAGGCTTGAGACCAGCCTGGACTACAGAGCAGGGAACTGTCCTAAAATTCCTAAAACGTGGGTTGGAGAGATGTCTCAGCAGGGAAACCTATCTGCCACCAAACCTGACGGCCTGAGTTTGATCCCTGGGACCCAAATAGTTGAAGGAAAGAACCAATTTTCAAATGTGCATTGTGGCATGCTGATGTGTGCATGTGCATAAAACACAGGGAGAGTCCTAAATGCAGAGCCTTCAGGCTGCCCAGCAGGTGAAGAAAGGTTCTGGAGTATGTCCCGAGCCCCAGTATTTTAATTTTAAAAAATTTTCCATTTATTTACTTATTTTGAATGTATATATGTGGAGAACAGACAACTTGCAAAGATGGGTCTTTCCTCCCACCTCTGGAGGTTCTGGGATCAAACTTAGTTCACCAGACTCTTTGGCAAATGCTTTTACCTGCTGAAGCATCTTGTTGACTTGCCTTTCATTATTTTAAAGCTGTTCGTTTTTTCCCCTTAAATTGTAGCCTTTTCATGTCTATTCTAATGTCTTTAATAAAATCTGTCACATGTTTGCTAGGATAGCTTCTTGTATGTGTGTGGTGCTGGACTTGAACTCAGGGCCTCCACCGGTTAAGCAAGTGTCCTCCCACTGAGCTATACACTATTTTCTTCTTTCCATCTTTCTTTCTTTCTCTCTCTCTCTCTCTCTCTCTCTCTCTTTTTCTTGAGACAGGGTTTCCTTGTAGCTTTAGAGCCCGTCCTGGAACTTGCTCTGTAGACCAGGCTGGCCTCCAACTCACAGAGATCCGCCTGCCTCTGCCTTCCGAGTGCTGGGATTAAAGGTGTGCGCCACTACTGTTTGGCTTGTATTCATTTAATGCTGAGGATTCAGGTATTTTCCAGTTCTATATGTATGAAACATGTATAACAATATGTTTTTTATTTCTGGGATGGCTCTACCTCCAGTGATGACTATGACTCGAAAAAACGCAAGCAGCGGGCTGGTGGAGAGCCTTGGGGTGCTAAGAAACCTCGGCATGACCTGCCTCCTTACCGGGTTCATCTCAGTCCTTATACTGTGGACAGGTGAGTGATGGACAGGAAGGGACTTAGACTTGACTTGCGAAAGTGATGGTTTCTAGCGTAAATGAGATGTGGCCTATTAGGGCGCATGAGGTATTTTGTGTCACCTGGTGACCCCTTCTAAAATGAACCAACCAGCCTGTGGGAACCTGCTGCATGTGGCTTGCTGCTCTGCTTTTCACTTCATGTGTCTTCGAGAAGTTCTGTGTTAATATGTACTAGTCAGTCTTGTTCATGTGTGTGTGCACTTTTGTTCATGTGTGTTTGGGTGCATGGGTGGAAGCCAGAGGACCACCTCAGGTATCTTTCCTCAGGTGCTATCTAGCTTTTTGTTTTGGACACAGGGTCCCTTACTGGCTTGGGACTTGCCCAGCAGGCTCCATTGTTCAGGAGCTGCCTGTTTGCCCTCTTCAGCACTGGCACTGCAGACGCAAGCCACCGTGCCAACGTTTTTTTTTTTTTGTTTGGTTTTTTTTTTTTTTTTTCCTTTTTGAATTACAGGTGTATGACCTGGCCTGATTTTTAACTATGATAGCTATCACGGATTCTCTTTCAGAGGCTGTATCCACTTACACTGTAACCAGTAGGGCACAAAGTCCTTGTTTCCTGTGCCCTTGCCAACACTGTTTTCCTATACCTTTTCTTTTCTTTTCTTCTCTCTTTCTTTCTTTCTTTCTTTCTTTCTTTCTTTCTTTCTTCCTTCCTTCCTTCCTTCCTTCCTTCCTTCCTTTCTTTCTTTCCTTCCTTCTTTCTTTCTTTTGTTTGTTTTTGGAGACAGGGCTTCTCTTTTTAACAGCCCGAGCTGTCCTGGAACTTGCTCTGTAGACCAGGCTGGCCTCCAACTCAGAGATTCAGCAGCCTCTGCCTCCCAAGAGCTGGGATTAAGAGTGTGAGCCACCACAGCCCAGCCCTCATATATCTTTTCCTTATAATTTTGCTGATGAAAAGTGCTGTTCTGATTTGCATTTTTTCTTCTCTTTTCCTTTCCTTTCCTTTCTTTTCTTTTTCTTTGAGACAGAGTTTCTCTGTGTAGCTCTGGCTGTCCTGGAACTAGTTTTTTGTAGAGGAGGCTGACCTCTAACTCACTGAGATTTCCCTGCCTCTGTCTCCTAAGTGCTGGGATTAGAGGTGTGTGCTACTACAGCCCACCTTTGATTTGCATTTCTAATTACCAGTGAGTTTGACATTCTTTCAAGCAGTTTTATATTTATTACTTTTTGTGTGTGTGCGTGTTCATTTGTGTGGGTTCCTGTGTGGAAGTCAGAGGGGCAACTTTCAGGAGCTGGTGCGTTCTTTCTACCATGTGGGGTTTAGGGACTGAACTCAGATGGCAGATTTTGTGTCTTTCCCCGTCCAGCCGTCTTGCAGGACCCTCTTCATAGGCTCTTATGTTGCATGTGGTTATTTTTCTGGGAAGGACTTGTCGTGTCAGGTCTCACAGTTTTCTCCTGGGCAGCTGAGCTTTTTGTTACTGACTAGAGACTTGTCTATTTAGACCATGACCATGCATGGGCCTGGAGAGATGGCTCAGTGGTTAAGGGTCCATACTCTTTTCCCAGAGGATATGAGCTTAGTTCCCAGCATCCACATGAGGCAGCTCACACCTGTCTGTACCTCCAGCACTAGAGGAATCTGCTGCTTCTGGCTTCTGTGGGAGCCTGCACAAAGGTGCATGTACCCGTATACAGATACACATAAAGACAATAAATCCTTAGAAAATAAGAGATCATGACCATCTCTATCATGCATTGTAATTTTTTTTCTTTTCCCAGTTTGACTTCTTTGCTATAGGGAATTTATGAGTCAAGTGGGCATACAGGTTCCATCCTTACCACTTGGGAGATGCCTTATTGGTGTCCTTATTCCTCAAACTGAGTAAAATGCTGTAGTCTTTTGCAGTTTTGTTCGTTCGCTTCTTCATTTGTTCATTCATTCATCATTCATTCATTCAGTGTCAGTGTATGATGGGGTGGTACACATGCCTGCCAGTGCACACATGTGAGTCAGAGGACAACTTTGTGAAGTTGGTTCTCTCCTTCCACCTTTCCATGGGCTTTGAGGATGAACAGGCTTGCGCAGCAAATGCCTTTAATCACTGTAAAGCCATTCTGCTGGCCCTGCAGTTTTTGTTTTTGTTTTTTAAGATTTATTTATTATGTATACAACATTCCTTCCATGTATGCCTGCAGGCCAGAAGAGGGCACCAGATCTCATTACAGATGGCTGTGAGCCACCATGTGGTTGCTGGGAATTGAACTCAGGACCTCTGGAAGGGCAGTCAGTGTGCTCTTAACCTCTGAGCCATCTCTCCAGCGCCCCCTGCAGTTTTTAAATTTTTTTTTTTTAAAAAACATTAGTTTTATGAGTGTTTTGCCTACATATATGTAAGTGTACCACATGTGTGCTTGGTGCTCATGGAGGTCAGAAGAGGGTGACAGATCCTCTGGAATTGGAGTTACAGACAGTTGTGAGCTGTCATGTAGGTTTTGGGAGCCAAACCCAGATCCTCTGTAAGAACAGCACATGTTCCTAACCTCTGAGCTGCTCTCTTTAATGTTCTAAGTGTTTGCTCACTGTCTTCCTGCAGTCCTGTCTGTGACTTCTTAGAACTCCAGCGACGTTACCGCAGCCTCCTGGTCCCCTCGGATTTTCTTTCTGTTCACTTGAGTTGGCTGTCAGCCTTCCCTCTGAGCCAGCCCTTTTCCCTCCACCACCCAAGTCGGATTCAGGTCTCTTCAGAGAAGGAGGCAGCTCCAGACACTGGTGCTGAGCCCAGCCCTGTGGACAGTGACTCCACTTACAGTTCCAAGGTCAGTTGCCTGGGCTCCTGTGACCGTGCCCTTGCTGGGACAGAACATGGCTGAGCACCCTGTCCTCTGCATAGGTGCTGCTGCTCTCCTCCCCGGGCCTGGAGGAGTTCTATCGCTGCTGCATGCTGTTTGTGGATGACATGGCTGAGCCAAGGGAGACGCCGGAGCACCCTCTGAAGCAGCTAAAGGTAAGAGCTGCCTTATATGGGAGGCAAGATGTGCTGGCTGACTGGTCGGTCTGCCATGTTTTCAGCAGCTCGGCTCCTAAGCAGTAACACAAAAACTCAGTGTTTCAGAGCTGAAGGTGCCCCTCACTTTATACAGCAGGACAGTGTAGTTCAGAGATGCCCCTTCTGAAGAGGAGTCAGGTGGCTGGTTTGGGTGAATGGCTGTAGAGCCCCAGGTGGTGGTCTTTACCCCTTGCTGCCTCAGTTCCTCATGGGCAGTGCATTGCCCACACATGGGAGCCGCAGGCCATGTTTCATTATCCCTACTCTCTCTGCAGTTTTTGCTGGGCCGGAAAGAAGACGAGGCAGTGCTGGTTGGGGGTGAGTGGTCTCCTTCCCTGGATGGCCTCGACCCCCAGGCAGACCCGCAGGTGCTGGTGCGCACAGCCATCCGCTGTGCACAAGCCCAGACTGGCATTGACCTGAGCACCTGCACCAAGTGGTGAGTGGCCTTCCCCATGTGGCCAGCTCGCCGTGGGGTGTCAGGAGTCTGGCTTCTGGGTTCTCTCCTGCCACAGCTCATGTCTGCCCACCCCTAACTGGTTAGAGATGACTGAGAACCCATGGCTGAGAGCGCTGGTGGCAGCTGACCCCCAGGCCATGCCCAATGCTCCTCTGTGCTGTTTGTTTACTATGTCTCCCTGTTGCCTAGCCACTGAGGCTTTGGCGTGTGGCTTTTTGTTTGTGCTCATGGCTTGGCATGCAGCATGTGTGCATGGAATTCTGACTGGAAACAGGGTACTTGTCTGTGAGTGGGACACTCATGATTATGTCACAGTTGGGGACTTTCTTTTCCTTTGGCTGTGAACAGGTGGCGATTTGCCGAGTTTCAGTACTTACAGCCAGGGCCGCCCCGGCGGTTACACACAGTAGTGGTATACCTGCCAGACGTGTGGACCATCATGCCCACTTTGGAAGAGTGGGAGGCACTGTGCCAGCAGAAAGCCACAGAGGCAGCTCCCCAACCCCAGGAGACATTAGGGGTAAGGCTGGGCCTTAGGGAAATGCAGGGAAGCTGGGCATGGTGGCACAAGCCTGTAAATCTAGCACTGGGGAGGTGGAGGCAGGAAGATCCAGAGTTCAAAGCTGTTCTCATCTTCATAGTGAATTTGAGGTTGACCTAGGCTATTTGAGCCCCTATCTCAAAAGTAGGTACCCTGACCTTAGGGCCCAGAAGGTCACCTGAGCTATTGTCATAGGAAGCAGAGCCTACCGAACAGGCCCCTGATACATCAGAGGAAGCAGACACTTCTAAACAGAACACAGAGACTTCAGAGGCCACCACACAGCAAGACGTGGACACTGATCTCCCAGAGGCCCCTCCACCTCCTCTAGAACCTGCTGTTATGGCACACCCTAGCTGTGTCAACCTGTCTCTCCATGGGATTGTGGAGGATCGGAGGCCGAAAGAAAGGATCTCTTTCGAGGCAAGTGCAGGAGAGACCACGAGTATGAAGATGGGATAATGGTGTCTTCACTCTCCTGCCTGATGCCATGGTCCCTGCACCTCTTCCAACAGGTGGTGGTGCTGGCTGAGCTGTTTCTAGAGATGCTGCAGAGGGATTTTGGTTATAGGATTTATAAGACGCTGCTGAGCCTTCCAGAAAAAGTTGTACCTCCCCCTGAACCTGAGAAGGAGGAGACAGCCAAGGAGGATGTGGTCAAAGAGGAGGAGGCTGTCAAAGAGGAGGTGGCGAAGGTATCCAAGGATGAGGTACAGAATGAGGGCACATCCGCCGAGTCAGACAACCCACTGGTGAGTACTGTTCTCAGCCCTGGGTGGCCTGAGGTTCACACACAATGCTTATGATTCGAGCCCCTCATGTGGGTCAGGCATTGTTCCGGGCACTTTGTGTGCCCAGTTGCATCGTTTCTTTATGTTACCCATTCTTTGAAAGCTGGGGATGGGCAGAGGCCCAGGAAGGTGAAACCCTGCATGTGTCCATACAGCTAGGAAGTGGTGTAGACCCAGAGTGAGGGACATGGCCAAGAGGGAGGGAAGTGTGACTGATAAGCCATGGTAGCATAGAACTGCCAGTCAGACTGCTTAAGAGTTGGGATTGCCTGATGGTTACAGGTGGACAAACTGGTCTTCAACCATTTCTAAAATGCAGCTTGGCTTCTTGTCCAAATATTGTCATATATACATAATTGCTTCCAAAACTAAGAGTGACTCCTGAGAACTACCCCAGGGGTCGAGATGTGCCACTGTGATCTGAATCCGGGTATTGTTAAATACTCATGAGCACATGGTGGACCACACAGTGCCCAGCACACAGCTGATGCCTGAGTGTTAGCAACTGTTATGTTAGTGTCACAAGAGTCCTGCACCTCCTCACCACCTTGGTCTGCTTCTTTAGAAGGAGGATGGCCTTCTGCCCAAACGGCCCTCTTCAGGGGGAGAAGAGGAAGAGAAGCCCCGGGGCGAGGCAGCAGAGGACCTCTGTGAGATGGCCTTGGACCCAGACCTGCTGCTTCTCAGGGACGATGGAGAGGAGGAGTTTGGTGTGTCTGGGGGCAGTGGCTCTCTGGGGCTGTCTGTGGTAGTTTTCCTCTTAGGCAGTGGTTCTCAACCTTCCTAATGCTGTGGTCCTTTAATGCAGTTCCTCATGTTGTGGTGACCCCCAACCATAAAATTATTTTCATTGCTACTTCATAACTAATTTTGCTACTGTTATGAATCATAAATATCTGTGTTTTCCAATGGTCTTAGGCGACCCCTGTGAAAGGGTCATTGGCCCCGAGAGGGGTGGTGACCCCAGGTTGAGAATCACTGTCTTAGGTGTGTGCACCACCATCATGTTGAGCTTGGGTTTCTGTAGCAGGAGCAAAGCTGGAGGAAACGGAGGTTCGCTCGGTGGCCTCAAACCAGTCCGAGATGGAATACTCCTCTCTTCAGGACATGGTGAGGCCCTATCTCCTTCTGTGCCTCGTGGTGGGAAGGTTGGCCTTTCCTGGGTGAGGGATGCCCACCAGTAACCTCTTCCGTAGACAAGAGACCAACTGTGGTCCTGACTCACAGAGAATCCTTCACTCTCCCTGGAAGGGTGGATCAGAGAGAGATCTGATTAGGGAACACAGCACGTTCTTCTGGGAATGTGCCTGCCCACAGAAGCCTGGAGCCCCACCCCGAGTCCCCAGTCATGAGGGCTACCTGTTGCTGTGAGCCCAGCCCTGGGTGAGAGGCTGAATGCACTATGTTCTTTAGCCTTGAGAACTGTCTGTAAAGCCCATTTCTCTGCTTTCTTTGCAGCCTAAGGAACTGGATCCCTCAGCCGTGCTTCCCCTGGACTGCCTTCTAGCTTTTGTGTTTTTTGATGCCAACTGGTGTGGCTACTTGCACCGGCGAGACCTGGAGCGGGTCCTCCTCACACTGGGAATCCGGCTCAGTGCTGAGCAGGTAGTTTCTGTCCCCACTGTCCTTCTGGAGGGCCTTTCCAGAGCTGTTGCTTCCTTCTGCTCCCTCGGAGGCACATGTGTGGCCAGCAGGTGTCCTGCTGTGTTTTCTGTAGGCTAAGCAGCTGGTCAGTCGGGTGGCGACACAGAACATCTGCCAGTACCGGAGTCTTCAGTACAGCCGTGCCGAGGTGCTGGACGACGGGCTTCCGGAAGAGGTGCTCTTTGGTAGGTCTTGAGCTCTGTGGCCTAAGGGAGTGGGGCTTCCATGGTGGGCTACTCTCTTCTAAGGTCATGTGTGTTCCTCTAGGAAACCTGGATCTACTGCCCCCTTCAGGGAAGAGCACAAAGCCAGGTGCTGTCCCCACAGAGCACAAAGGCCTGGTGCCTCACAATGGTAGCCTCATCAATGTGGGGAGCCTGTTACAGCGTGCAGAGCAGCAAGACAGCGGCCGCCTTTACCTGGAGAACAAGATTCACACACTGGAACTGAAGCTTGGTGAGTGCAGGGCAGATGTCACAGGGACTAAGGGGACACCACTCCTGAGACCTGGGGCTTTAGTTTCATGTGGCAATTGACTGAGCAGAGCCTTTCTGCCATGTCCTCACTGACCTTTCAGAGGAGAGCCATAACCGTTTCTCAGCCACCGAAGTGACAAATAAGACACTGGCAGCAGAGATGCAGGAGTTGCGGACCCGGCTAGTGGAGGCGGAGGAGACAGCCCGGACGGCAGAACGGCAGAAGAACCAGCTTCAGCGGCAGCTGCAGGACTTCCGTAGGCGCCTGACCCCACTGCACCTTGAGATGCAGCGAATGGTTGAAAAGGTAGGATGGCTGAAGGGCGGCCATAGTTTCTTTTGGTGCAGAGCAGAGCTAGCCTCTGTGTGGAGAGGCTTGGGATGCTGGTCCTTGCCATGCTGGTCCTCTGTTTGTGGGATCTTAGACTCCTGCCTGCTCCCAGTGCTCTGTACTAGCAGCAGGACACGGGGAGAAGCCTCATCCTCACCAGCGTTCCATGTGCTCACACAGGCTGACAGCTGGGTAGAGAAGGAGGAGCCGGCACCTAGCAACTGAGTGGCTGTCTAGTGAGGTCTACGATGGAGCCTGATGACATTAGAGCCTTTTTGGTACCAGAAAGCAGCTGGAGCAGGGCCTGGGAGTCACAGCAGAGGTGGCTGAGTTCTGTGCTCAGCCTCTGCAGGGGTGATCAAGCTATCAGAATGGGGTTTGTGCTATGTGGATGGATGTGTAAGGAACCCCAGTTCCAGCTACAACTAAATACAACATCTTTTGCACCCCTAGAATGTCATTTTGCCCTCAACCTTGGAATTTATCCCAGGGCCCTTGTAGTCTTGTGCTGTCTCCTGTCCTCGTCCACTTTAGAGCAAGACAGGAGGAAAAGGCTTTTCCAGCCTGGAATAAGGTCTGATGCCAATAAATGGAAGAACAGGTGTAGAGCCTGGCACAGCCAAGAAATGTCCTTCCTCTAGAGGGCATGATGAGTTCCGCAGGCTCCGGTGTCCGTTAGGTGATGGAGCCCATGTGAGGAAGCACTTGGCGTTGGGTCAAGGTTGCCAACAGAACACTGTGTTCCAGCCATCCCCCAACTTGCCAGAAGAACCAGCACTTCTTTCTCTAGCTCTTGTGTTCAGAATGTGGTATTGGCTCTGGCCCAGCCCTCTTCCGTTTCCCATAATTCTTGCCTCTTTCCATAATCCGTGGTTTCAGTTTGACTTTGTATATAAAGTTGTTTGTTTGTTGGTTTTTTTTTTTTTGGCTTTTTGTTTTTTAAATAAACCAAAGTCAAAAACAAACCAAGTGTGTCCTTGTAGCTCTCCTCTTTTTCCAAGCTGCCTGTGCTCTCTCTGCTTGCCAATCCTCAGTTTTCTCCAGAAGGCTCTAGAAGGCAGGCAAGCAGTGAACTGCCACAGGTTGTGATTGAGTAAAGGCCCCCTGCCAAGTTGGCAGACACTGGCAAAGCTGTGGCGACCCCCATGGCATTGGCTACAGCACACACTAACGTTTTACTGGGAAACTTTACTTGAAAATAAAATTCCAGCAACACAGGTGAGACATAAGCCTTGCTTTGAGGCCTGTGAATCAACGTGTGACATTCAGTAGAGCAGAGAGCTAGAGACGAAGTCTGCGTGCCAGGGTAAACTAAACACCCAGGGCTGTCCTTAGCTGGACCTGCAGGAGAGCAGCTGTGGTCATGTTGGCATGAGGGGCCCACCACAGCAGAATGACCGGAGTTCTGCTCCCCATGGTACCAGGTCTCACCTGACAGTCTGAAGAGCCATGGGGGGGGGGAGTAGTGAGTTCCCTAGAGTAGGTCCTCTGGAGGTAGTCAGAACTAAGGCCCCCAAGTTCCACAGGAAGCCCAGATCCTTATAAAGGCTGAAGCTCCTGCTGGCCAAACACTATAGCACACTCTGGACGGTTCTGGAAGTAAAAAGGCCCCTGGGGTTTCTCTACATTGCTTATTAGTGTTGGGCAGAGGGAAACAGCAGCCTGTAAGGCTCCCAGTTTCAGCTCCAGGAAATGGAGATGTAAGTCAGAGGACTGGCAAGGTAGAAGAGTAGTGGCCACTGTCTCCAACTGGCAGGCCATTGGGAGGTCCACGGATCCATGCCTGCTAAGAGCAAAGGCTATAGAGACATCTGTGTCCCAAAGAGTCTGAGGACTCTCAAGGAATGGGCTCAGTCATCAGCCACGATGGAGAGGGCTCGGAGCTCACTTAGTTTGGCCTCGTTTTCTCGCTCTCGCTGCTCATCTGAGTGGCCTGGCTGGTCAAGCTGCTGAGTGAGGTCTCCAAAGATCTTCTGCATTTCTGAGTAGTACACAACCTGGGGAGGAGGGAAGAGCTGTAGGCAGGAACTGGACTTCGGTTCTCTGCAGCACCCACTCAGTGAAGCAGCCAAGAGGTACAAGCAGGGCCGGGTTCGGGGTCTATGGGTTGCTTCTTGCTGAAGGGGGTGGGGATGGCGTTCTTGCTCCTTCACTGCCTCCCAGACGTCACCCTATCACCTGGCAGCCTAGAGATGGGTGAACCACAGCTAAGGCATAGAAAGGGAATCCGTAGTTCCTTGGGGGAGGGGAATCCCTGGCTCCCCAAAACAGCTAATATAGAGAGGGGACTGCATTTGAGGGTGGCCAAGGGCAGGCTTGGGTTTACTGTTTTCCTAAGCTAGGAGGAGTTGGGGGCTTCTGGTCGTGGAAAAAGAACTAGGCAGACACTGGTTCCCCAAGCCTTGAGAGCTGGTTCTAGAAGTCAAGTCAAGGGAGGCAACAGCTTCCCAGATTCCACCACTTCCCACTTTTGCTCATTATCGCATCCAGGCCAGGGTAAGCTGCCTAGATGGAAAGACCAGGGATGTGGTTTGAGTGACAGGGTGAGAGGCTGGAGAAGGTCCAAGAGGGGAGGAGTTTCTCCAGATGGTAGGTGTTGACTTCTACAGAGGTCAGAGGTCATGTCTGCCTCGGTTTCCACTTTCTGACATGACAGTGCACACTAATCCAAGCGTTCACACTCTACTCTTCAAGCACCTCAACTTTGAGACAGACTGTCTCCAGGATTCTCCTTCCATCTGAGAAATTGGAAGGCGGTGACCGGGAGGGTGGAGCAAGGGCCAGTGGGATGTGATGTTCTAGGAAATCTCCCCAGAAGCCAGAGCTGGGTTCCATTGGGCCAAGTGCTGGGGGCCCCCAATTCCTTGCCTGGGCCACGCTGCCTGGTGAGTCAGCGGGATGCTCACTTCTCCAGTGACTAATAGCAGCAGCAGCCGTGTGAGGAGGATGCTGGCACAGAGGAGGTGGTAAACAACCCTGGATACCCTGCTGCTTGGTTACTGGGTATCCCACTGCCTGGGCACCCTGCGGCTTCCTCTAAGGTTCTGGGCTGGGGTGGTGGACACAGGTCACTGGAAGCAGAAGCAGGTGTCATAGCAAAAGAGGGCAGGCCAGCAGCTCCCCTCTCAAGCCACTTTCATCCAGACAAAGGGGGTAGCAGCTGGACGGTAGCCCTTGCCTGCAGGGACAACAGAAGAACACCCTCCCTCCTGAGTTTCTCTGTCTCACTCCGAGAGAGCACCAGACCGAAAACACGGGCATTAGCAAGTCCAGGCTCCAGTATGCACCTTGCCTGGGCTTCTTGATGTCAGGTATTCTGGCCCATGCTTTTGGGTGTCACTCAAAAATGAAGGATGGATGGGAAATGTGGATCACGCTTTCACTCAGGGCGCTTGTGACTAAGGAAGCAAAGAGGAAATGAGAATGTCCACTGGAGGGCACCAGAGGCCCAGGTAAGACAAGCAGGGCAGGCAGCACTTGGGGACCAGTTAGTGCTGGGGTCCTGAGATGGAAGCCAGTCCCTGTGATCAGTTGCGGGGCGTCGATGCGGAGAAGACCTGCTCCTGGCTCCAGTACCACTGCCTCTTCCACCTCGCCAGTGGGAAGAACAATCCTAGTTAAAATTTGCCTGAAGATGAATGGGGAAGAGAGGGCAGGAGCTGCGTACCCTCCCATTTCGGCCCTTCACCCAGGTGGTAGGAGACACTGGGGTGTGTCTCTGGCCTGTGTCCTGCTCTCTGGCTGCCACGTCCACACCAACCTGCACTCCACTGTCTTTCCACTAGGGGGAGCATTACACCTAGTGGCCAGCATCTCAGAGTTGGTCCAGGACCCCTCCTTAGGATGCTCAGTTAGGGCTCCCGTGGGTCTCCTGCTAATGGAAGTCTCCTATTGGATCCTCAGGCATTCATTCTACTGGCCTCCCAAACACCTCTGCAAAAGACCTGCCCAGTTGAAGTGGTGGCTAAAGATGCAGTCTGGTGTCTTGCTGCTTGAATGTAGGAGGAAGAACTCAAGGGGCAAAGGGTTAGACAAAAAGGAACCTTGTCCATCACAGGGCTGGAATTAAGTGGAATGGAGGATACCCAAGAGAAGTTCCTGCATGACATCAGTGCTGGGCACCAGGGCTGGCTGGGGCACTACATGAATTCGCATAGTGCCTGGGGCAGGAAGGTGCTGTTGTCTGTGCAGAACATAGCTACATCAACGGCAACTGGATTCCTACAAAGATTATTTCCCGAGGGAGGAGTCTTGCCTTACCTGTGCCCGGATCAGGGACTCAAAGCTGGGCTGGAAGTAGTCAAGTCGGCTGCCGTAGAACCGTGGCATCTCATCCAGCAGCTGTTTGTTCTTGGCCTCGAAGTCTTCCCGCACAGGCCGCAGCTCTTCTCGGGCCTGGGGAACAAGACCCTGGTGTCAGGGCTGTCGCTGAAGGGGGCAGGGTGTGGGAACAGCAAGGGTCCTGGGTCTGCGGGTCCTCCGGGCAATGGTTGTTCCGTTTACCTTGCTGCTCCCCTCCCTCCTCCTCCCGCTGTACCTGGTGGAGCTTGGCCAGCACCGGGCCAGTCTTCTCCTTTCCCTCGTACTTCTCCACCTTGGCCTGCAGTCTCCTGTAGTCCTGCAAGGCCTGCTCCCGCCGTTTCACTGCCATGTTGAGGCTTGGGAATACGCTGCCAAACCTGTTGGGCACAGTCTGGTTGGAACAGGCTTGTCGTGTGTGTGTGTGTGTGTGTGTTTCTGACAGTCACCCCTTACTCAAAACCATGTATGGCACACCTACTATGTGCTAGATCCATAAGGCTCTGAAGCTGTGGGACTTGGGCTGGCAGGATGAGATGGGGGGGCATCAGACAGTACTGAGCACGCTCCCTAGACCCCAGTGGGGGGCTGTGAATGAGAGTGCTCCTGTCCTGTTGCTGTCGCCCTATACACCCTGAGCCCCATCACAGAGAATGATGGGGCTGAAACTCCTGAATATACTAAAAAAACAAAACAAAACACACCAACAGGGGAGGCCAAGGCCACAATCAGGTGGTGATGGTCCAGAAAGGATCGTAAGTTTCCAAGTTTGCCAGCCCCTTTCCTACTGCCCCACAGTGCCACTGACAGGTGACAACAAATGACAAGCTGGCCAAGGGCTCCTTCACACTGTGGAGAAACACAAATGCTATGGCTCTCCCACAAAAAGCACAGGAAAAATCATGTTTTAGGAAGATGGCCCTAGCCCATCCTACCCAACATGACTGAAGGGAGTGTGAGGTGACCACTCAGAGGACTGGCCATTCAGAGAGGGCTATATTTTAAATGTTTAGGCATCTGACTGTAACTATCATCACCAGGGCCACCTTTCCCAGTGAAGGGTCTCTGTATCTTGGACAGGCCTAGCGTTACTTTTTTGGCACAGATGAAGGATGGAGGTAAGGCAACCTTGCAAGCAGGTCTCCCGGAAGTGAGAAAATAGGGTATGCAAAGTCTTAAGGGGCTGTGGCTGACCTTGGTGCTGTACAAGGCTTCCCTACCACACCATGAGGTGCCTACTGTGCCAGCCAGGAGCTCTGACAGCCTGGTATGATATGGACAAGCAACCAAGGGATTCAATGTCTCTGGTCACACAGGTGGAGAGACACAGTTGGAGTCAGCTTATCCAGGAAGAGCCCAGAGAGGGTGACAAAGAAGGCAAGCAGGAGTCAGGGGGATGGGGATCTTCTCACTGGGACCCCAGGCAGTGGCTGAGGCCACCAGAGCTGAGAGAACACCTGGATGCTTAGGGTAGGTTTCGACCTGCAGGAGGCTCTATTCCCAACCTCATGAATTCAATACCGAAAGCCTCAACAAGTCAGGGACACACAGATGAGAATATTGAATACTGTTAGAGAAAAGAATGTAACCCAGCCAGGCATCAGGGTGCCCCCAAGCAAGCAGCAGACTCTGGGAGCAGATCAGGGTGACACAAAGGGCTTCCTCTCAAAGGCCACTGAAACCAGTTCCTGTGCTTAACCTTCAGATAGGGCTCATCGCTTTCCTGAAAATGCTAGTATAGTAGGCCAAGGCCATCAGGATTTCTCTGAGACCGCAGTCATAGGGCCTGTATAGTAATCAAACCAAGACGTGATGAGGTGCTTTAACAGGTAGAAGATGTGAACCCATGGGACCCTGCACAAAATGGATATGGGGACTAGGCGCCACCAGGTCACACTGGGAGAGGAGCCAGTCACATGGCCTATGTCAAGGCAGCTGGGCCTGGTCATTCAGCTGCTCTGGAGCCCCCTCTCCCTTCCTGGGCAGCTGAGCAGTGTGTGGCTCAAGGGAACAGGTGCCTTGGGCCTGAGAACTACCACCCTGCCCCTCCCTCTATCCCAAGAGAACAAAGGGCCCCAGCAGCCTGATCCTGTTGTCAGAAACAGCCTGCTGCTTGGGTGGCCCCAGGGCTAGGGGTCAGAGACAGGGTAAGAATGAGACCCAGGCAGGAGGCGGAGGTGGAGTACTTTCCTGCCCAGGTCTCAGGATCTCTTTGCTCACTGGAACTCACCTCTGGGGAGTGCAGGTGGGCATCACAAGAAACAAAGGCATGTGTGAAGGGCAGCCTGCAGGTGTGAAATGGCCTTGGTGCAATGCTGGCTGGGTGTGCAGCCCTGGGTACGTGCCAGTCTCAGCACAACTTGGACACCAGTCCATGGTCCCAGTCCTTTTCCATGGCTGTCATCTTCAAGACCAAGTCACTCCTACTGAGAATATTAACACTAATACTTGATGACCTGGTCAGCTCATGAAGGACACACGACGCAAGCACAGGTCAAAGTGCTGAGCTAGGAGACCAAGGCTACCACAGCCCAGGCGTTATAGGGATGTGTGGTGCCTAGACTGCACTACTTACTAGCATGGGTTCCTTCTTAGAAGCCCACAGGAGTCAAGACCACCACCCTCTGCAGGTGCCACTGATCCTGCTGGCCTACCAGAGGCTCCTGACTCTTTGGGGACTCGCGTGTCTTCCTCAGATCTGTCTCCTACAGCAGTACTTCTCAGTCAGACTAAGAGTTGGTTGAGACCTGAGCTTGATGACCCCTAACAAAGGGGAATCTGGGTAGCTGTGGACCTAGAACTGGGAGTCCCTGAGACAGGGGACGGGACTCACGCTCTTTTCACCTGAGGGGCAACTAAGGTCACTCACAGGAAGAGTGCCTATTCTAAGGTGAGGGAGGACAGAATTCCTGCTCACTGCCCCACCGCGCCTCACTTTCATATTTTCTACTTTCCAGCCTTGGACAATCCTGCCAGTTACCTGACAGCAGGGTCCACTCTAGATGTGAGCTAACTAGGGTGCTGGTGCAGAAGGTGAAGACAAGTGTGGGCTGGTCCCCTGTGCTGGACCTTCCCCAGATATGCTCACGGACCTCATAGGGCTCCTGCTGATCTCCTGGCAACCATGACACATGGGCCCGGCTCTCGAGACACAAGGCTTACATTTCTATAGGTCTGCTTCAAATATACACGGTGGAGACGTCAGATCCTCTGCCAGTCTCAGCTGCCCCTTGATAAATTAGGGGTAAGAGACAGGCCATACTCTGTTCCTTGGCCCCACTCAAATCCTGCATCCTCAAGCACATTTCGTTCACTTAACCCTGCTTCTAGGCACCGACTTTACCACACCAAGGAATTGGACAGATTTCGGCCAGTCGGAGACCCTGCCCCAGCTCAATATGGCAGCACGCACACCTGGGCTCACTTGTCTGAGTTCCCAGTCTGTAAGTACCTAGGACAGCTTCACATTGATCTTCAAAGATGGGGGGTGTGGGCCTAGGTCTACATCAGGGCTTCAGGGAGCTCAACCTAGGAGGTACCCATTTCTTGCCTGGCACAAGGTTCAACACCAAGCTTGCTCCCCAGGGAGGTAAAGCGTGGGGTGAGGAGAGAGTGGTGAGGGAAAGAGGCCGGCTGGGAGGTGGGCTGGGAGCAGCCGGCCTGGTGGGGAATGCCTGCCATTCCTCATCTGTGCCCACACAGCCGGGATCTTCCGCCCACCAGGAAAGGGAAATTGAAAGCATCCCCATCCGACATGTGAACAACCCAGGGGCTGGGGGATTAGAGCCCGAGCCCCCTTAGCGGGAGATGCTGGGGGCGACAGGGTGGCCATGATCTTCATTAGAGGACAGGAAAGCTGCAGTTTCCTGTTTCCGGTGCTGGGGTCCCTGGGAGCTTCTCTCCTGGCACAAGGATGCAAGTAGGGAGGAGGTAACAGGCAGTGGTGGTTTCTGTGGTCACGGGGGATTGTATGTTGGCTGTAGGCTGCAGAAGCCAGCCAGGCCCGAGGCTCACACAGAGGTCAGCGGATCCATGGCGGAGATGGTGGCCGCCCCCTCTGCCACGCCCCCACCTTCCTGGCAGGTGGTGGGCTGCGAGCATGGTGGGAAGCAGCCGGGGTTTCTCTCTACTTGGCTGCAGGAGCCAGAGATCCGATTTCAATGCCGCCTCGTTGGTTGTGAAATCGAGAAGGTAGTCAACCCCCTAGTTCTCTGAGCTGGCAGTCCTGCCAAACTCTGCCAACTCTGGGTGCCTGTGGCTGCCTCTGGGCCCCTGTATCTCCAGCACAGCAGACTTCTCTGTGCACAAGAGGCTCACCCCTCTGAGAGCCTTCCATTCAGCTCTGAGTCTATCTTGGGCACCAGACCAAACGAACAGCTCCTTCTGCACTCAGGCCCCCATGAGGGACCTGTGGTTGGGGATGAACTCTGACCAAGAGGCAGGGGTTCGAGAGCCCAAGCTGATGGGGCTGGGGTGGTGGGCATGGGTCAGGCTTGGCCTCATGGCATCTGCAGATGCTCTGCAGGTCCTGCACTGGGAAGAGGCCCTGACAAGGCTTGGGGGGGGGTGGGCTGTTCCTAATCCCACCCCCAACCTGAACAGGGAAGAACAGCACTCCCCAACACTCAAAGACTGTAGGATCAAAAACAGCTCTCTTCATCTTCCTCCAGCTTGATTCTTGGCCTAATGATAATGAAGCAGAGGCGCACTGCCTAGCCCTGGCCAGGCGACTGCCGGGACCACCACAGAAGAGGTAATAAAGTACAGCTGCGGGCGCAGAGCGGGAGCCTTTCTAGGTCAGAGCAGGCTGGGAGAGGCCAGGAGAGAGGAAGCACTCAGGAGCTTCAAGGCAAGGCTCGGGGCAGCCTCCTCCCCTGGGGACCCACGGGACAAGCCTGTCTGATCCTTGACCAGGGCCTGCAGGACCAAAGACGGAGTCTCACAGAACCTTGCTCTCCCAGGTCACGAGTGAGGGGACCCTCCCAAGCAGGATGTGATCAGGCTGCCGCTGCTGCGCCCTTCCCCATGTGCAGCCACCCCCACGCTTCCAAAGCAGAGTGCTGCAGGCAGCTGCATCCCAGGCCGGCTGTGAGATGAAAGGGTCTTGCTCACGTCTGCTGAGTGCTGGCCAGGGTCTCCGCTCGCTACAATCAGCCAGCATTGAGCCTCACGGGGCCCAGCCAGAGGCAAAGGGGAAGGGGCCAAAAGACCACCAGGGCAGTGTCTGGCACCATGGACATGAGTAGCTCTGTCCCCTACAGATCGACTAGGCAGTGCTGGTGCTCGGCAGCAACCAGAAGCCTCAACCACGGGACACAATGTATGGCTGGTGTCCCTGCTGTTCCTTGTCATGGGAAGCTAGGGACATACAGCTAGACACGCTCCTTGGTTCCCAAGTGGCTAGCTGGTCTGCTTTTCCCACAAGTGCCCTGAGGCCCATTTCCTTGGATAACCTTACTTACTTTTTCAGGGGTTCAATCACTGTCTTTTGGATCTGGTTCACCTGTCAAAAGAAGAATTAAATAGCATCCAAACTGGGAGCTCTAGATTCTTCTGAAGGAGGAGGCCCCAGGTTCCTCAGAAGCCAGAATCCTGAGAGCTGGGCAAGAGGGGATCTGGGTGAGATAGGTAATACAGTATCCATATTCTGTAGCCAGAGGAGAGGGAGAGGCCAACCAGAACCCTGAGGGCCACACCTAGGGCTGGGTCTGGTCTCAGGCCAGGCTTTTCCGGTCAGCGCTACTGGCACAGGTTTATAATAGCTTTGCTCAGTGCGGAGGGATGGGCGGGCAAAGCAGTCCTGCAGAGCGTAGCTGCTGTAGGCACCTCCTGGCTTCACTGTGGTCTCAGTGACATGCCTCACAGGAGACATGGGCAACTGAACAGCCTGGTTTGGGAAGAGCTGGGCTTGGGGAACATCAGGCCTTAGAAGGCTGAAACCCCAGCACCACTTACAACCTATGATGGGCACTGTATCTACGTAGGTCTGAGGGGAAGGGGGCAAGCATTGGCCACTGGCAACAAGAACTGCTTACCTTCTCCTGGTTGAAGGCATCCATCCGTTTCATAGCTGTGTCTAGGGCTGTCACCATGTTCAGAAACTCCTGGTCCTGCTCACACAGGGGGTTGGAGAGTAGGTCCAAGGAGATCTTCACAGCAGATTTGGACATAGCTGTTAGGGAGGTTAAAAGCTCCGTGAGTTCCCAGAGGGCCAGGTTTCATGGTCTCCTTAGTGTTCCTTGACCTCCTCTGGCCTAGGCATCTGACCTGAGCACCTTCGCCTATGCCATGACCACCAGAACATTGACGTTCCAAAAAGCCATGTGACGTGCTTCTTGGTGTTTCCCACAAATCCTAGCCACGAAGAAAAACTCCTAGGTTGTTCTAGGACCAACCAAGTGTGGGCGGGAAGCTGTACAACACATTTTTGCTCCAAAGATGCTAAGTCAATAATCGCAGAATACAAGAACCCATATTGTAGGTGGGTTGCCCTCCTGGACTGTCTCATGTACCCCACTATACCCCAGAGTTAGTCCTCTTATCAAGACTGGACAGAGGGTGAATGCCCGAGGTGCTGTGGGCTGTCTGGAAGTACCAGGCAGCACCAAGGAGGATGGAGACCCCATGTTAAATTTGAGGCTCTTGATCTAGGGCTCATTTTTAACTTTCCATTATTTATACATGAAATTGTAGAGGGATAGGCAGAGGGCCTAGAGAAGGACCAGGCTGGCTCAACACTGTCCAGACCAGTTTCTAAACATATCTGACTGAGTATCAGAGCAGAAGACAGATTCGGCACGTGACCTTGGCCAAAAGGCTGAGGAGTAACAGAAGAGGAGTGCTCTGTCACCGCTGTTCTGAACTGTACCGCGCACTGCCTCCAGGCTGGCCTCACTATGAAGCCCCAGGTGGGCAGTGATCGTCTGCCTCGGCCTCCTAAGAGGTGGGGTTACAGGCATGCACTACCATCCTTGGCTGGAATTTATTTTACTACGACTTGAGTGTCACAGCACATAAGCTGCTACTGATTTTAAGGCATGCAGTAACTGTACGAACCACTAAGAAAGAAAAAGAGGGGGGCCTGATCTTGACTTGCCCTGTAGTCAGACTGATGACTATCTTAAATATCACTACAGAACCTTCATCCAGCAACTGATGGAAACAGAGGCAGAGACCCACATCGGAGCACTGGACTGAGCTCCCAAAGTCTAGTTGAAGAGTGGGAGGAGTGAGAATATGAGCAAAGTGGTCACGGCCATGATGGATACACCCACTGAAACAGTCTACCTGAGCTAATGGGAGCTCACCAACTCCAGTCAGACAGGGAAGGAACAAGCATAGGACCAAACTACTCCCTTTGAATGTGGTTGACAGTTGCATGGCTGGGGCAGACTGAGGGGCCGCTGACAGTGGCATCAGGATTTATCCCTACTGCATGTAGAACCTAATTTCTTTGGATGGATACCTTGCTCAACCTAGACAAAGTAGGGAGGGCCTTGGACTTTACCCCAAAGCAATGTGCCTTACCCTCTCTGAGTATTGGATGGGGGTGGGGTAGGAGGGTATATGGAGGGAATGGGAGGAGGGGAGGGAGTGGGAACTTGGATTGATATGTAATGAAAAAAGATAGTTTGTTTTCTTTTAAAAAAAATAAATAAAAAGAAAAAAGAAACAAAGACAAAAGAGAAAAAAAAGAAAGAAAAAGATGTTATTCAAATCACCATATTAGCAGGTAGTAAGAACTGTGGTCTCAAGGACATTAAATTGAAAAAGTGTCTTAGAATGGATAAAGGAGGACTCATCTCCCAGCTGATTACAGGTGGGGCCTTCGGGGGAGGGCCTTGCCACTCCAATGTGGAAGAGGAGAAGCCCAGGCCCTGCCAGAGGTCCCTGTCATACCCAGGTCCTTCCGTAAGAGGCTGGTGGGGGCTTACCATCACCAAGCAAAGAGAGCCAACTGTGGGAGGGGCCTGGAAAGGTAAACTTTCCAGAAATGCTGGAGCAATGGAGGAGGAAGAACCATTTATGAAGTGATGGCACAGTCAGAAGATAATAAAAATCTGCACAGAGCTGCAAACATGTCTGAAAACGTCTTCTCTTGTTTCCTCCCCATTACTTGATGATAAAGGAAATCCCAGCAGTCATCGGATGGTGGAAGGCTTTCTTCCACCTACCCTTTCCTCCCCTTACACCCTCACACGCTCAGGCCCCTGCCTGCTGAAGACACACGAAGCCAACGTGCTGCATTTTCTTAGGCCACTGCCCTGGGCACAACCAGGTCTGAAATCCAATCCCACACACCTGTTCTTGATCCCTGCTCCAGATAACAGCTTTCTCCCCTGCAGGGACGGGTGGTGGTGGGTCCACGGCCCACATGGCTTAGCCCCTAAGATTGGCAGTCTTTGAATATTAGAGAAAATATTAAGCTCCTGGACCTGCCCTTATGTTTCTGAGGTTCTAATACAGCTTCTAGGTGAAGTGCCCAAAAGTCCTCAAAACTGACCATTCTGAAAGCTCTGGAAGTCATATAGTTTTACGGACCGGAAGATCCTCTTTTCAGAGCATTAGAGAGGATTTTAGAGCCTGTCTTTGGGATTTGGGAGAATCTGAGGTCACATTTTCCTCAACTGGTGGGTCAGTGGCTCTAAGTGTGTTCCTAGTCCCACTGTTCCAGCATCACAATGCATCAGAGATACATTTCCAAGCCTTGTTCTGGACGTTCTGCTAAGGCCAGGCCTGGCATCCTATGCCATCACAAACCCAGTGGTGACATTGTGGTCGTCCATGTGACAGACCCTGAATGCAGACCATGTGAGCTGGAGCCAGTGATTCTAGGCTTCTGGAATCACCCCTCAGTCCCAATTTTATTGTTGGGTAATAGGCTTTCGGTAGTCAAGGCCTCTTCCTTGTAGACTCCTGATGCCTACTTGGTTGTGATGTCTCATCATGGAAACAAAATCCTGCACTCCAGTTCTACTCTGACCCCTCAGCCGTGTGGGACGCAGGTGCAGCGGCTCCCTTGCTGGAAGGTGGTGGCAAGTGATGCGAAGGCCCTCTGTGAAAGTCAGACCCGCTCCCAAGCCTGGCCCCTGGCTAGGACATGCCAGAAGTAAGGAGGGAGTCACATTCAGACCAGCCCACAGTCTTGGGGTTGACAGGGAAGCTTGAGGGCACAGACCAAGAAGGCGGGCGGTTCTGCCAGGGCTTTGGTGGTAGCAGCTGCTTCCTAGGAAGACATTTCTCTTATTGAATGAATAAAGATGGCATAAGTAACCAGCCGAGTCCTAGTACCTGGCAAAAATGGGGCAACCCTGAGGCTTTGGGCCTATCAAGGGTTTGCTTTTCCACTGCATGGCAAGTGGGACAACGGTAGGCCCCCAATGCACCCTGAGCTGTCCATCACCTTGTGACCTTTCAGATGGCATCTGGATACCACTGTGCTACCTTAATCTGGATTCTACTCTTGGGGCAAACAGTCAGACACTAAGATAGGTCTGGTTACTGCAGTGAACACTCCTCCCCCCTATTAGCTGCTTCCTAGCTTAGAGCAATCAGAAAAACAAGCCAGCCAGAGAACCCAAGTGCAGCCTCCAGCACCCACAAAGGGTCTCAGATTGCCTGTAATTCCAGCACCGGGCAATCTGATGCCCTCTTCTGGCCTCCATAGGTACTGCAACTCATACCCACATGAGTGCACACACACACACACACACACACACACACACACACACACAAATAAAAGAATAAAAGGTTTAAAAACAAAACCAAAAAACTCTGCCTCAGGTGACTGACAAAACAATTTCCTTCTTTAAAGGACAGACATATAACCAGGCAGTGGTGGCGCACACCTTTAATCCCAGCACTCAGGAGGCAGAGGTAGGTGAATCTCTGTGAGTTCACAGCCAGCTTGGTCTGTAGAGCAAGTACCAGGATAGCCAGGCTACACAGAGAAACTCTGTCTCAAAAAAACAAAACAAAAGATGGACATTTCACCTGCCCTGCCAGTTAGTTAAGATGTACTGTAGGTGGATTTCCTCTGAGGTTGTTTAAGCACTCGGTGACTCCCACAAGACACCATTACACCATGTGGCTGAATGAACAGGGGCATCCTAGCTCCACCTGCCTCAACAGACACTGGGCGGGGCCACTTACCTAGGTCGGCATCGGCGCTTTTCTTCATGTCTTTCTGCAGGCGCTTGGTTTGCTCTTCCAGCCTGAAAGGCAAGGAGCAGGTGGGCACCTAGCCTCAAAGCACTAGGGCCCACCACTTCTCTGCCTCAGGTAAGCCTAGCAGGGAGGGAAGGGGCTCTCCGTGCCACACCCCCCACAGATTGCCATGCCACCTGAGGCCAATCACCCAGCGCCTGTGCGCTAATGACTTTCCTATAGCCAGTCTCTGTTGGCGCTGCCTTCGGTCCCTAGTTATAAATGGACAAAGGGCACAGAGGCTCCCTGGCTGGGCCTGACCTGGCCAGGAGGAGGCGGGGCAGGTAGCCCTGGCAAGAAGCACGAGCCCCAGCAATCTCCCATCTCACCCTCCTGGAGTTTGACACTCACTGCTGCAGCTTTCCATACTCCCGTTCAAAGTCTCGCTCCACCTGCAGGGAAAGAGCGAGATCAATCAACGGGGCAATGACAACAAGGTGGAAAACATCACCCTGCTTACTGAAACTCGCTCCACGCCCTCCCCCCAGCCTGCAGCAACAGCGCTGTCCAGTCCCGACACGCTCTAGCCCATCGTTAACAACAGTGTCCCTGTGTTCCCAAACTAATGAAGTGTTTGACTTAGGGAGAAAGCCTCTCCTCCCAGAGGGGCCAACCAGGCTAGCTGGCAAGTCTCAGCGGATTGTGCCTTGGCTCTGTCACCCCAGGGTGAGGTTCTGTGAGTGCCTTTTCCTCATCCCAACTCTGATGGCAGGCAAGGGAATCTGACATGACGAGACCCCACCTAGGGGTCAGCAGGGCACTAAGGAAGAGGTGAGTCTCAAGGAAGGGTTCATGTATTAGCTGTGAGGTCCCTTCTCAGCCACAGCTTTCTCACAGACCCGACCGATCTGCTGTTGGGCCTTGGCTATACTGAAAAGGATCTTGTAGCCGGCTGGTGATGGCATATGCCTTTAATCCCAGCACTTGGGAGGCAGAGGCAGGCAGATCTCAGTGAGTTTGAGGTCAGCCTGGTCTACCAAGTGAGTTCCAGGACAGCCAGGACTGTTACACAGAGAAACCATGTCTTGAAAAACTAAGGGGTGGGGGGAAGATCTTATGTGGACATCAGGTGGGAGCTTGCTTTAGAATGAAGAGCTCCGCACCCGAGCCTTCAAGGTGTGCATCTGCAGGGCTGTCCAGCCTGTGGCCCACATGCCAGGCCAGCTAAGAATGTAGCCTGGCACAAAACTGTAAGCTTCAGAAGTTAGGAAATCTTTTTGTAATCAAAAAAATTTAGCCACGCTATGGTGACACACTCCTTGCATCCCAGCACCAGAGAGGCAGAGGCAGGCGGATCTCTGGGAGTTCAGGGCCAGCCTGGTCTACAAAGTGAGTTCCAGGACAGTCAGAGCTTTTACACAGAGAAACCCTGTCTCAAACAAACACTCCTCCCCTAATTTATTATCACTATCATTATTGTGTTTATGATGCATATGTAAGGGCAGGCACCGTGTATCCATGGAGGTCAGAGGGCAACTTTTAAGAACTGGTTCTCTTTCCACGTGGGTTCTGGTGGTAAGAGGCTATCAAGCTTACACAGCAAGTGCGTTTACCTACGGAGCTATTGTGCTGGCCTGCGCTTTAGGGGGGGAACAATGACTTAACTGTGGCTTTTGGAAGCGAACTCTGTAGATGGCAATGCCTGTCCTAAGATCAAAAGGCTGGAGCAGCATAGTCATTTCCCCAGCACGTGGTACAGGACGGCAGGGGAGAGGAATGAACTCTGAAGTCAACAGCTTCTGGTATCTGAGCAGAGCGGTTTCACTTGGTCATTGCTCTACGTTCAGTGGCTCACTTGCTTGGGGGAAGGTAATACCAGCCCACACTGGTGATTGCAGAATGCACATTCATGTTCTTTTCTTGCTTGCTGGGCATGAGAGGGTTACAGTAGCCTGGAATGCAGAGAGCAGCAGCCAAAAGTACTTGGGAAATGGCACCAGGTAAGCCCCGCTGTGGCTAAGTATGGAACCTGACGCTATGGAGTACCATGTAACTGTGGCACTTCATAGCCTTTATAGCCCAGAGGATGTGGCTGCTGAGTGTCTTATTTTTCTTCATATTAGTGTTTACTTCCCAAAGCATAGAATGAAAACTATTTATTGGCCATAATCAAACTCTTCTGGAGACATACCTAGGCACTTGCTCTCCTGGGGTGGTGGGGGCCGAGCTCCTGCGCTGCTGCCTTTGGCTTCCAGCCTTCTCTTTTGCAATGCCTGAGAGGGCTGATGTGTGTGGGATGTCAGAGAGCACCTGGTCTGCCTGGCTGGGGACTGCTTGGACTTGTACAGAGGGGCCTTCGAGCTTCCAGCCAGGTGGGATTGTTCAGGGGGAGCAGAAGCTCACAGTCTCTGGAAAACAGAAGCTTGCTGGGGTGGCCACATGCTCTTTCTGATGGATGTCACTCAAGGTCATCTCACAGGAACTCGGAAGCACCACCTCTCCTGCTTCCAGGAGCCACGGTGCAGTTCATGGGCCCCTCATCTTTCTCCCAGAAGACAACCACTTGGGGTAGGACCAGAATTCCAGGCCCTCAGATTATGGCTGATAGAATAAAGGGACACATCAGAGTTACATTCCAAGGTGCATGTCTTCTGAGGGAAAGAGCCAAGTGGAAAAGATCTGAATGTTTTTGAATGCTTGATGCCTTTGCCAAAAGGCAACTGGAGGCCAGTCAACAATGCAAGTGTAAACACATGTGTGCGGACTGTCAGGGGATCGGGCTGGGCCGGGCTGCTGAAGGGTAGCCTAGGGAGAATCAAGTCCCAGATGATGCTCCCTACATTCTCCTGGGCCCGGGGTGCAAGGGCAATGCCTAGGCTAGCCTGCCCAGCAAGAGCTCGGCACTTGCTAAGTGAGTGAACAAGCTGAGTTCCTTCCAAACTCAAATTCCTGGTAAAGGGGAAAAGGAGGCCGCAGGCGGGGCTGTGGCTCTGATGCCAGGGCTAAGGCGTGTCAGGTCAAAGTGAGGCAGGGAAAGCATCCTGAGAGCCATGCAAGGATATTATGGGTGGACAGCACCTCCCCTTCAGTATGCTCCAGGGCTAAGGGGGATTAGAGAGGCTGAAGTCTGAAATCTTCCTCATTGCAGGGGCTCGGAGTGGCTACTTGTCTTTGCCCTGGTTTTGCAATGCACCTACTTGGCTAGGAATCTTGTCTTGTGTTTTTCTATGTGCACAAGATCTAAAAACCCCTTGCTTAGAAGGCATGGGAAACAGCGTCTCCAAGAGCTCCCCTGTCCATGTGTGTGTGTGTGTGTGTGTGTGCGTGGTGTATTTGTCTGTATATGGTGTGTAGGTATATGTATGTGTGGTGGTATGTATGTGGGTGTGATGTATATGTATGTGGTGTGTGTGTATGTATGTGTGGTTTCTGTGGTGACTGTGTATGTATGTGTGCTGTGAGTGTGTATGGTGTGTATGTGTGTGTATGTCTGTATGTGATGTGTGTTTCTGTGTTTATGTTCTTTCTCCATGCTAAGAAACTCTGAGGCTCCAGAGGAGACCAACAGAAGTTGAATCAGGAGGTAGGAATTGTGGTCATTGTCATAGTGTCAATGGGCAGTCCCTGCAGAGAACATGTCATTCCTGCCACAGTCTTAACAATCATGGAATGCATGCTGGTAACCTGAACACAGGCAAACAGTGAGAGCAAGACAATGTTTTCTTTGTGGCTGGCAGCTGGGTACCCTGAGCCAATAACCTCCTGAAACTCCCTGAAGATAATGTGAACATTTCTTCCCATGACAGGGCTATGACTTCCAATAACCTGGGCGGTCACATCTGTTCCTATCCCAGAGTGCGTCACCAGCGTCCAGGGACAGCTGCCAGAGATTTGGAGACATCTGCACAGTCCAGGCCTGTGCTTGGGGTGGAGAGGTGAGCAAGAACCGATCCAGAAAGGGCAGGGTCTCACTACCTATGCTTAAGCACCCTGGGAGCTGAGGGGAACAGGCTGGGTGGAGGAAAACGCCGTTCTAAGTCACTCCTAAGCTTTCATTGTTGGTGAAGGATCACAGGCCTAACCCACAACTTCACTGCACCTGGCAGCAGAACTGCTGGGACAGGCTGAGTCCTTGATGGCTTTGGAGGAAGCCAGCTGTCAGCGAGGGCTCCTTACAGACCAGGCACTGGACTAAGTACCTTATATGCACTGGCTTATGTGAAACTCTTCCTATACTGGGGGTACTCTTACCTTATGCACGAGAAAGCTAAGGCTTGAAGAGAGTAAGGCTTGTGTCAAAAACTGTAGATAACACAGAGGCAGAGCCAGGTAGGAATCCAGGGAGTCAGTCTCTAACCTGGCTCCTTAACCTGGATACTTGCTCGATTTGGGGGAGGGGACACCACAGACTAAAGGATGACAAGTCCCTAGCAAGGACATAGGCAGCACAGAGAAGGGACAAGGCAAGCTATGGGGGGGGGGGCGGTGTTGTCTGTTTTTCCCTGGGAATCTTTGCTATTCCTTAAAGTAAAGGATCTAGGAGCCCCTATCATGATGGACTGACATCCCTGGAACCACAAACCAAAATAAATAATTCCTCCCTTTAGCCCCTCCTCCCAGGAGCCAAGGCTTTCCACCAACAGACTTGGCAGGGAGCTGGAAAGTGCACTGTAGCCCATCCTGCTCTGGGGATCAAAGCCCCATCAAGGAAAGATGAAAGTCGTGGAGGAGGGAGGGTTTCTGTCTTCTTGTTTGCAGTGGCGAACAAAGTAGGAAAAAAAAGACCCTTTTCAAAACCACTTCTCTTTTGGATCTGCTGAGATTACTCTCTGGAGGCTCAGAGCCACACCCTCCCCTGCCTGCAGCCCAGCATTTGCACACCCAGACTTTCTGGGTCTTAGCTGAGAGGCTCCACAGATGGTCAGTCATGGAGGCGACACTGAGTCTGCTACCGCCGGCCTTTTCATGAGGCAGAGGGCGACTCTGTTAAGTTGAGCCCTGCTCCTTTCTGTGACCCAACTCTGGACTTCCCGAAGACAGAGGCATTGGTCAGATGAGTTGGACTTCCTGCCAAACCAAAGTGGGATCGTTCCTCCAGCACTGGTGTGGAGCTGAGGAGAGAAGGCGGGAGGCCAAGAGGACGGCAGGAGCTCAGAGGATGGGCACAGGGACCTCCACTAGGAAGGGAGTCCTGGACCTTGAGTTGTCATGACAGAATTTTCTCATGATACAAACCAAGGCCTCAGGTGCTGGAGAGATGGCTCAGGGGTTAAGAGCATGGCTCTTCCAGAGGACCCAGGTTCAATTCCCAGCACCTGCAATGGCAGCTCACAACTCCAGGGGAACCTGTCACCCTTACACAAACACCCATAAAATAAATAAATCTTAAAAAGCAAAGCAAAACAAAACAAAAAACCCCTCAAGGGTTTTTTTCCCTCCCATTTTAGACATAAAACAGGGATTAACATGGGTTCAAAGGTGGGTAGGTGTTACTATTGCACAGAGTGACTGGATCATGGCAGCTTATAGCAGTCCGTGCTAACAAAAAGATGTGGGCTATCTGGAGAAGCTGCCGTGTCTTTTATGTAGTTGAGGTGGTCAGAAAGAAAGGCCTTAGGCACTACCATGGTATGCATATTTGGGGAGCAGTATATGCTCCAGGGCTCTCCTGGGACTAGGACTGCTCAGACTGCTCAGAACAACCAACAGGACCCAGGACAGGAGGCCCCTAGTTCACAATCTCCAGTACTGAGACAGAGAACAACCCAGAAGGCTGAGGTTCCATGCAGAGGTGATGTGAGGCACAACCGAGTCTCAGGGCACAAGAACTGCATTACTCACGGTTTTGGAAACAATCTGCTTCTTGGGCTGCCCAATCTTAAATGGAATCCTGTAAGAGGGAGAGACAGAGGGTGCTGTGAGACACGGGTAAGGCGGGGTGGCAGGAGCAGATACACAGAGGGGATTAATGCTTGCTCCCCCAGTCCTCATGGGGGCATGTGCGCCAATAGCACCCAGTTTGGTTCTAGAATAGATTATGCTCCATGCTCTTGGTCACTCCTGCCTGCTGAGATGGTCATTCCTATAAGTGGTCTGTCACTTAAACACATTGGAAAAGTGGGGGAAGGAAGACACCTTGCGACTCTGCAAACCTTGCCTTAGGAACTGCCAAGAGAGAAATGCAGCCCCCTATAGCGGCTATCATTCTTGAAAACATGCCCTTAAGAAAAGCTCACAAACATCCCTCATCTTCTGGAAGAGGCACTCAGCTTCCCACAGGTGCTACAGTGTATCTGGTAGGGTTTCTGGGGTTGCTAAGGAGAGAGGACAAATTAAAGAGCATTTCTATTAAAAAAAAAAAAGACAGGATGAAATGTGGCGGGCTTGGTGAAGCATCTGCCCAAGCCTGCTTTGAACTTGCTAAGAAGCTTGTTTACCATGTTCCCAGGTTAATTTGGAAGAAGCTGGGGTTAACACAAGGGAGATCATGGGGCTGGGGCTCAGAAGTGGGGCCGCAGCCCAGCTCCCAGCTACTCCAGCAGGCTGCTCTATGCCACTAGCCGCTGCCCTGATGCCCTTTCTTGCTCTCAGGAGTGAGTGGATTGACAGAGGCAATGGAGAGATTTCTTCCAGGTCCTGACAACATGGACCCTGTTAGTACACACTGGTGGCCTGGTGAGAACATCAACACGGTTCGTGCACATGGTGACAGAGAGGGTAATGCATTTCCCCTGCCTGTCCTGACCCTAGGTCGGAAGTGTATCTAGGGGCCTGCTCTGGGAAGAAGCCCCAAAGACAGCCTCTCAATACTCTCCTCTCGGCTTCTGGGCTGATGGTGCCAATGCTGTTCTAACCAACCCTTAGGCTTCGTTCCCATCTTTCCTTTAGTCACTCTCCCGCGCCTGCCTCCACCTGGCCCAAGTTGACCAACACTGCTGCTAACCCCAACGGTATAATTAACCACCGATAATAACCCCCAGACAGCGATCTGGCTGAGGGGATGGGCTGGCCTGAGTCACGGTGGTTTAAATTTAATTTCTGGAGGACATCCTGTTTATTGTTAACCCAGCCCCATAATTTGGGAGAGTTAACCCTTTGGGGTCTGGCGGGAAGCAAAGTGTCTTGGGCTGTGTCATCATCAGATGGGAAGAGGTTTGCTGTGGGACTGGAAAGAGGTGGGGTCAGGGGGAGAAACTGTCGTTTCAGTTTCTCAGACCTAAAGAGGGAAAGGGGGAGCTGGGTTTTCTGTCCCAGTCCCCACCCACTTTCCCTAAGATTGGGAACTGGAGTTGATGTCTGATGAACAAGTGCCCTCGAGGACCACTTTGGAGGCGGCACACACTTGGTTCTGTGGGAAAGAAAGTGCAACGGGACAAGAAGAGCAGGAAGGAGACCCAATCTCTGCCCCACTGGCTCTGCCATTGAGCAAGTCAGTCTCTCTGAAACTCAGCTTCTTCTACTAGGAAACCAGCCTGATTACCTGCCTTCTTGTTTACCTACAAGGGACCTACACCCCAAGAATGTGGGGAGTGGGCTAAGGACCCTGAAGAACCCTCAGAGTGGACCCAGAATCTGGAACGACAGACCACAGCCCAAGGGAGCTAGAGTTGGTGACTGTCGTCTGCAGGGTCATGGCCTCTGCAGCCCTCAGCTTCGCAGCATGACATCAGAGAAGAGGTGTTCCCACTTTAACCCTCTCATGCTGCAGGAAGGAAACAGATTTTAAAAAGATTCAGTGTCGGGCACAGAGTCATTGTGTTGCTTCCCTGAGCCCCTGCTTCTCCCTGCCACTCACAGTTCAGTGTTTTGCTCCTGAACTGTTCTAGGTCTGAGTCTGTGGGATCAGCTGGGGCTGATGGCTAAGAGCCTACAAATTCAGGAGAGCCCATGTGCAGCCGACTGTGTTAGCGCAAAGGGAAACCGTGGATCCGCAGACAGGGTCAGGTCTCCACTGCAGTTACTGACGGTCAGACAGCATTTCATCAGACTGCACTATTGTTCAGCCTGCTAGCTCCAAAGACACATCCACCTGTTACAACATCTTTTAAGTAAAATATACATTTTATTCTAGAGTTTCAGAAAAACTGTGAAGTAACATAATTACTATGCCCCTGTCCTGTTCTGCCGTACGAACATCTTATATTGCTATGGTCCATTGGTCATGATTAATGAACCTGGCACGACATATTAAAGTCTGTGCTTTATTCAGTTACTTTAGTTTCTGCTCAACACCCTTTCCAGAACTAGGATCCCATGCAGGCTACCACGCTACATTTCCTCCTTAACGGCTTCCTGGTGTGGTGAAGTCTAGACTTCCCTTGGCTTTGATGACCCCTTTTTAAGGGGCATCGGTCAGACATTTTATAGCTAAAATGCTCCCCACCCCTTGGATTTCAGGGGCTGGAGAGATGGCTCAGTGGACTGAGAATACTGGTTGCTCTTTCAGAGGACCAGAGTTCAGCTCCCATCACCCACATGGGGTGGCTTACAGCCTCTGACAACTCTAGCTCCAGGGGACCCGATGCCTTCCTCTGGCCCTGGCAGGCACCCACACACATGTGGCACACATCCATATAGTCACAAAACATAAATAAAAATAAATGTTTAAAAAAGGAGAGAGTCGTTCTTGTTACATCTCCCCACAGACACACTGCAGACAAGAGACAGCCCTGCTGCCCCTGACTGAGCCACAGGCTCAGGAGGAAGTCAGGGCTTCAAAGGCTGCCCCTCTGTGGTCCCTCCCCTCCCCCTTCTTCTTTCCACTAGGGAGTCACTGTTTATTTTACTCAGCTATTCATATCGGCATGGACTCATGGCTATTTTATACTCAGGGTCATAATCCAATATTGCCTTATTTTGATGCTAAGAACTGCTTTGGTCTGACCACTGACAGACAGCTTTGCAGTTGGTTCCTGTGACCCTCTGACATATTCCCATCAGTGTGTGAGCACATGTCTGGGTTATGTGCTGCTTCCTTCAGGACACCCAGGCTTATCTTTCCTGCTCTAGGTCCTGTTTTGAAGGAGAAACTTCCATTCCATTGTGCCTGATAATGTGATCTTGATTTTTCTTTGGCCTTCTTTTCTATGGAGTCCACACAGGGCTGTTTCTCAGTTTCTCTATTTCCTGTTCCAAACTGGGAAATTATGTTGTCAGGACCACTTGGATCATATGGGGAAACGGGCATACAGCAAACACCACCCAAGCGGAGCCATCCCATCGCCCGGCTTAGTACAAGGAGCTCTTAAGTCTACAGCTGTGCTTAGAAAGCTCTCATTGAAAATTCAAGGAAAGGGTGAGAGAGAAGAGAAGAAGATGCCCTGCCGGCGACGCCTCTGCCTTAAAGATGACCAGTGTTTCAGTGGTGTTAACTATGTATGTTTTCACATGCGCTGGAAGGAAAACAGCTGAGGCAAATCGCAAGTGCTGGCAGCCTCAGTTCTGGGTGTGAGAACGTGGCTACTGTTTTCTTCTTCCCACTTGATGGAATTCTTCAAATAAGCCAAAGGGAGTGAGTGGGGCAGGGAAAGCAACCAAACAAAAAACCCCAAAACTCTTCAGTTTTTTTTTCTTCACTACAAAAATAGCATCTGATTAGTGTAGGAAACTTGGAAGACATGGGAAGTACAAATGATAGAGAAACCTGAATGCACACACACCACAAAGGCAAAAATAAGCAGTGGAGGCTGAATTACAACATGGGCATGCATCTGCACACACATATAGATGTATAAAACACACACACACACACACACACACACACTATAGTACTTCCTTTAGCTGGATATGTACATATGTATTGATATGCATAAGTCAACATAGTTTTTAATCTAATCTTTAAAAGTCTTTAAAATAGTAGACAAAGTAATGGGTTTCATTACAGCGTCTTCACACATTTGCAACATACACTTTGGCCTCATTTGCCCATCTCCCTCATCTAGTCTTTGCTTCAGCTTTTGTGGATCCCAGCACTCCATCCACGCTTCCCACTTCCCTTAAGATCTTTTCCTTTTGTGATCCCTTCTCTAATTTTGTGATACATGCACACACACACCCTTTCAAATCTAGCTTCTGCATGAGGAAAAACACACATGGGATTTGTCTTTTGGAGACTGGCTTGTTTTGCTTAACATAATGACTTCCAGTTGCAATCTTTTTTTTTTTTTGGCCTACAAATGTCATGCTTTCATTTTTCTTTATGGCTGCAAAAAATTTCCTTTGTGCGTATGTCCCACATTTTCATTATCCACTTATTTGTTGACAGAATCGTAGGCTGGGCACATTCCCTGGTTTTGTGACCAGCACGGCTATGAACATGGACATGCAGGTGACACTTTGGTACACTGCCCCAGGAGGGCGACAGCTGGCTCGTACAGCAGCTCTATATTCATCGTTTGAGGGATCTCTGCACGGGTTTCCGCAGTGGCGGGACCAGTTTACACCCCCATCAGCAGCGAATAAGGCTCCCCCCCCTCACCAGCACTTACTATTATTATTCATTCTCTCGGAAGATGCCGATATAGTTTTTATTTTTTGAAATGTTACACATTTATTGGTTGTGTATGTGTGCACGTGTGCATGCTAGGATACATGTGTGGAGGTCGGAGGACAACTGTGTGGGTCGCAGGGCTTGGTCTCAGGTTGTCAGGTGCAGGAGCTAAGGGCCTCTGCCTGCTGAACCACGTAAGCAGCGCACACAGTTTGAAGTCAGGGTTCTCTACCTCCCCAGTGTCACCCTCTTGCCTCCCCCTCTGGGACTGGATTACAGGCAAGTGGTGCACACCTGCCCAGAATTTCCTTTTGAACTTCAAAGACATTACTTTTTTATCTTCCAACATCCCAGTATGAAGTCTCCTTGAAGGCTGAAGCCACCCTGGTTTCTACCCATTTTCAGTGGTCCATTTCTCATTTTCTTTATGCGAACCCAGAGGACGGCAGGTTTGCCTTGGTGTTCCGTCACAGCGTACCTCCCGGTCTGTTCTCGTCCGCTGCGCTGCTGCTCACTGCAGTCTCAGTTCCGCACTAACACGTGATCGGGCGCACTCCCCTCCATGTTGTTTACTTCTGCCGCTGCAATCTTGCAGCTGATCCACCCTTCTTGTCTCTGATTTCTCTGCTTACACCATTTTTTAAATTTTATCTTTTTTTTGTTTGTTTTGGTTTAAGACAGGGTTTCTCTGTGTAACAGCCCTGACTGCCCTGGCACTTGCTTTGTAGACCAAGTTAGCCTCGAACTCACAGGGATTTCTCTTCCTCTGTCCATGAGTGCTGGGATTAAAGACGTGGTATGGCTTAATTTTATCTTCTAATACTTGTGGAAAGTTATTTGCGTCTCTGCTATCATGCTAAAATTCCATGACTTTCACCCCAATGAGACAATTTTAATTTAGTGCGCTTTGCAAAGGAATTTCAGTAGTTAATAACAACTTTTGACGTGCTCACCACCACCTCAGCGCACTGCAGGCTGAGGCCCGGTTTTTTTCTTCTGTATCATTTACTTGACTAGTGCGTCTTTCGACTTCAGAGCTTGACCTTTCGGGCTGCCCTTTGTGGTGCTGTTGATTCCCAGCTGGCTTCTCTCTGGGGAACATAATGACAGCTTAAAGTCCCTCCTCCCTTTCAGTCTCTTTCGAGTCCTTTCTAGTATTTATGTATTGGCTTAAAATGCCTTCCTTGGATGTCTCACATATATGACTTGGGAACAAAGGAAAACTCTGAGGCACACAGCATGTTGGCTGATCCAGCAGAACAGTGGTTCTCAACCTTCCTAACGCTGAGACCCGTTAACACCGTTCCTCATACTGTGGTGACACCAACCATAAAACTATTTCATTGCTACTTCAGAACTGTAATTCTGTTACTGTTATGAATCGTAATGTAAATATCTGACATGTAGGATATGAATTGTAATTAAATATCTGATAGCAAGAATAACCTTGCGGCTTGCTATGTCTCTGTATTTTCATTCCTACTGCTCTGGCTGCATGGTCTTTGTCTTTTCACAGTCAGCATCATTTTCCCAAGGGACAAAGAGAATTCATTTTTTTCTCAGTTAGAGTTGATTGAAATTTGCTTTCTACTACTCCCACTGTAGAAAGAAATCAGGCTTCCCTGCTAACCGGTGATGTATAAATGTAAATTTTAAGACTGATGGAAAATTTAGGAAAATCTCATGCTTCTTTTATAAATAAACTAAGATCTTAGGGCACAGTTCAAGATTTCTTGTACAATGATTAATCTCAATGCTCTCTGAGTTAGTGACAGCAACCATTTGTCACTGATGTCCTTGCAGGTGACATATCATGAGTTTTGCTATCTTTGTTGTGTCTTTCACATTTAATACACCAGAAATTCCTGTCTTATCAACGTATTCATGTGAATTGCTCCTGTTCATTAAACAGATGTTCAAACAATTACCATTAATATTTAAAATTGATTTTGTCTCCTTACTGATGACTAGTTTTGTGTATAAACTGAAAATACTTTGTTTTATTGTTTGATTTCCATTGATGTAACTGTTCACTTATCACTTGTGTTTGATTCATTTTTAAATCCAATTTCCCCTCAATTGTTGTAATGCTGGGAATTGAATCCAAGCTTATCAGGCAAGCATTCTATCAGTGAGCTATAATCCTCAGTCTCCTTTAATTTAAAAATAAATTTAAAGGTGATTTCAAAGGTACTTTTTGTATACTTTTAAGTCAGAGCCAGTCATTTCTCATCTGTTTTATTAAAAATGTCCCAAACACTTTATAAATGGCGGGTAGAACACTATAATCTCAACTCATCTCCCAGTCCCACCCTAAGGAAGGCACAGGCTGTGTCAAAGCTGAGTAACATAAGGGGAATAATAGTAATAAACAAAGTGACAAGTGTTATTGTGAACAACAATAACAATTAATTATGGTAGAAATGCTTTCAGTTCGAAAACCAGGACCACGTGACCACAAGGCTAGGGCTCCTTCCAAAGAGGCTGGACACTGCTTGTTTGGTGTCATGTCTAAGAATCAAATTCAGTATTGTAAGAATGTATCCTTATGTTTTCTTATAGGAATAAACATATGAATTTTATGGTTGGGCTCTCACACTAAAGGTCTTTGATAACTATGGGTTCATTTTTGTATACGGTGCAATGCATCTCATTCCTCTGCAAACACTGTCTTGTTAGCTCAGCTGTTTGTTGGGAAGACAGATCTTTGTGTTGTCTTAATATCCTTGTGAAAATGGTCACAACTGGTCACAACTGGTTGCAAATGCAAAGGTATATTTGGGAGCCTCCATTTCACTCCATTAGTCTATCTGCCTGTACCACCCCACCTTAGTATTGCAGCTTTGGAGTAAGCTCTAAGGCTGGGAAATGAGAGCCTTCCAATTTTGCTCTTCTTAAGGTTATTTTGATTATTCTGTGTCTCCTTTCTTTCCAGATGAATTTTAGTGGTTTATTTTTCACTCTTAAATCTTGTATCCATTTAGAATTTATTTTAAGTGTGTGACTAGACAGTTGCTTTAACAGGAATTAAAATGTATCTTTCTCACAAAGCTGGGCGTGCTGGCACA